GGATTAACTTTCAATGGATGCTGAAAAGGTTGTCTGTTGTGTGATTCTAACCAAACGACGTTCTGGAAAAGATTGTTGCGGTTCGGAAGAGAAGATGGGACATACAGATAAAGCCGTTTTCTAGGGTGCTGAAACTATAAATCTCATCTGTCAAAACAAACAATATCTACCACGAAGAGCGAACCCAGATTTAAATGGAGACTCTGGGTGACAATGTGTCACTAGGCACAGCACCAACCACCATGTGAGGGAGGCTCTGGGTGTTGGAGACACGGGGTACGACAGGAACTCCCTACGTCCTCCTCAGTGTGGCCCTGGTAAAGGAGGTCACCACCAGAGCTGGCTGCTCACTGCTCAGCACCCTCCTGGCTTCTGTTAATAATGTAACAACAGGACAGGCTAAACCAGAGTCTGACTCACAACAGGAATGAGAACAGGAGAGCCAGGAAGTGGGGAGCAGTCCAGCAGGCACCCAAGCTCAGCACAGGAAACTGAGCAGAAATGCTTCAGCAGCTGCCCAATGGCTAACTTGCAGACTGCAGGATGAAGCAGCCCCGTTTTCTGTGCGGGATGCCAACACGTCACCCCGGACTGGATTACATACGGTGACTAACAAGTGTTGTTTTACCCAGCTATCACCAAGGCTTATCAAAACAAGACCCAGACAGAAGCTTCTGTCGGCTGTCCGCTTCTGTGAATCCTCTGTATCTGCTCTGCTCCGATTCCCACCTAGGAATGGATGTATCCTAGGATGAAAAGTTCTTGAAACTTGTGGCAGGAAATTACCACAGCGTTCCTTCAGTCAGTCTCGCATTACATCCCCAAATCAGAGCCATCCACCACTGGAAATTACCTACCAATCAGTCAAAGAAAACTCCTTATTGCAAATACAACATGCATGAAGGCCAGACCTTGTGACCCGTCTGAGAAAGAGTCACACCCAGCAGGACTGTAATACTCGTCATGAAACCAGCTGTCTGCTCTTGGGCTGCGGTTCCCACTTGTTTGCCTGTGTTCTCTTGTTTCTCTACCCACTTCATCCAGCCTTCCCAACAGACGCATTCCCCATTAAGTGGAATGGTTTCCACAGCTTCTGTGTGCAGAACACAGTAAGACACTCCCCACACCTGGAGCCTACGTGCATGCTTTCTTTTAATGGACTTTTCCAAAAGTCTTCAGAATTCTGCTGTTCACCACCTTAGTATTTCTGTCTTTAAATCTGTGACTCTTCTTGCATCCCCTACTGACTATCCTCGGTACCACAGTCCGCTTATCCCCGTGAATCAGCTTGCTAAAGGATACTAAGCTACTTCAGTTTATGGATCTTCCTTTTTAAATGGTCTTCATATACCGACTGGCCCCACCCATGTTGCTGATCATGGTGTGGTATGTTTTGGGGGCTGGGGTGGCCCACTCTCAGCACTGGCTCCATCTGAGTTCCCCCATCCTATATGGTACAGTTTCTTCTGAATTCAAACTTGCAGATCTGAAACTGCAGAGCACAATGGTTCTGAAGCGTTTATCTCGGTTCCTCTTCGCTCCAGCGACAAGGCGAGGCCAACTTCTCCTGTTTCTTATATACAGCTGGCAAATGTTCCCAAGACACCTCAGGAACAATTCTGTCTTATTCAATTTTTCAGAAAAATATGAAAAATCAAAAACCAGCAGTAGCTTTGCTACAATTACATTTTAAGAAAAGAGGTTGGAAACGATTATTTGAAAACTATACCACATACCCAGCATGCTGTAAATTTACCAGATTTCAATTGAGTTTTAAGAAGAAATTCTTTAGTGGCAAACCATTTAAGAGACAGAATTTTGTTGATATGGATTCTGAAAATCCATAAACCGTTTGTCCTTAGAGAAACAAAGGAATATGGAAGAGAAGATACAGAAGAGAGCTTCTACCTGTAGACCACAGTGAGACACCAAAATGCACCTTTCTCCACTGGGCGGATGCTACCTATGTATACCACGTGACCATTGTACTTACTGGATTTTCCCTTTTTCATATGATTGGAAAAACACAAGGAGGCAAAAATACGTAAAAAGCTGAAGCTTATCAAGATGCTCAAATAAGATCTGAAACTACTGACTTAAGGTGTACAGGAACAAGAACGGAGCTGGATGTCACTCGGACAGCCACATGACTTAAGCAAACAGAAACCAGTGAGCAGTTTGGGGCCAGGTTCCAACTGTGCAAGCTACTGTCAATAATTTATAAGCACTCTTGGGGCTAGCCAGGGCTTGAAAATGAATTCTGGAAACCAGTGCAATATTGTAAGTAACATACACACACAATTTGTCTGTGTGGCTCTCAAGCATAACACACACACACACACACACACACACACACACACACACACACACCATGGCACCCATCACCTATCTGGAAGTCAGAGGACAATTTCTGGGAGTCAGGGCTCCTCTTACACTGTGTGACTGCTACAGAATTCTCGGAAGCACCTTCATCTGCTGAGCCATCTTACCAGTCCACACAGACATTTTTAAGATTGTAGGAAGGAAAAGAGCGGATGAGGCAACTGGTCTGACCTGAAATGAATTCCTACGAATTTCAAACACCTTCCCAGAGGGTCAAAACACTTGTATTCTGGAAGCTGGCCAAACTGCCCCTGGAAGAAACAAACCTGGCCACTGAGCCACCAAGTTCCCCTGACCACTGAGACAGCCAAGAAGACAGAAGATAGCTCGTTTGTGCTCACTGTGGATGTCAGGGCCAACAAGTGCTCAAAGGACTGCAGCAGCTCAGCACTGATGGGATCAACATCAGATCAGTGGATGGAGAGAAGACAAGGGTTCAACTGGCTCCTGACTACGATGGTCCTCCAGGTACTGCCAACCAAACTGGGACCAACAGAGTCCAGCTAGACAGTTCTAAAGACACGTTTCTACCATAAAAAGTCTTCTCTGCACAAGACTCAGCTACAAAAGACAAGTCTTTAAACCTTCTGGCACAAGGAATGAAATTCTGAGATAAAAATCAAGGGGGGAAGTGGGCTGCAAAGTGTTCTATTATGTGTAAAGTCGTGCCTAGGTGAAAACTACCAAAAGCAAGCGTACCAAAACAGAAAATTTATTTTAAGTTTGAGAAGCAACAGAGAAGAAACACCGGCTCACACAAAGCTTTTTTTTTTTTAAAACACATTTTAAAGAAAGAAATTGTCACTAACCAAGTTATTTTATGTGGACAGCCTCCCCAAGTAAGAACTGGGGGATTTGGAATTCTAGAAGGACAAAGAAACAGAAGACAGAAGGTGTTGATGCTGCAGCTCAGAACCCCCGAGAAGACTTTTTCAAACAGTCTGGGGCTACCCCACAGCTTAGCAAGAGTGGGGCTCAGAAAGCCAGTCCGGCCCGTGGCTACAGCTTCGGCTTTGGAAGCTTAGCTCCAACTCCTCCCCCCACCGCTCGACTCTTTCTTGGTAAAATGCAGACAAGAACGCACGCACACAAGAAGTGACATCCTCAGAGACGTCCCACTTCATTCTGCAAACAGATCCCTTCTGTTGGGCAGAGAGCACGTGAGCCACACTTGTGAAATGACCGCTCCTACTCTCCAGCGAGCTTGTGTCTGGTAGTAGGCTACTTAGCCATTTTATTAAGTCATACTAAGACAAAGATTTCTACAAGACAGAAACTATATTCTAGATGGGTGTGGCAGTTAACCCTAGTTAAACCTGGCCTGGGCCATCCAGGAAGACCTGTCTCAAACATGTATCTGGATTTCTTTTAGCTAAACCAATAAATATATCAGTTTATACGGGATAAGCAGTTTGTGAAAGCTGATGATTTGAGAAATGTTACTTTTTGTCAAGATTCTACTGTTTTATTTTTATGTGGGCCTATTTTTATGTATGTGCACCATGCTCATACAGTGTCCTGAAGAATTGTGAAGAGGGTACTGGGTTCTCTGGAACTGGAGTTAAGAGCCCTCTGTGAGGACTATGTGGGTGCTGGGAACCAAACCCGTATCCTCTGTGAGAGCAGTCCATGCTGTTAGCCACCTAGCCATCACTGCAACCCAGGGCATTCTCAAGTAAAATTCCTAAGTCCATTTAGAAACTTACTTTTTACATTAATCACAAGAACTGGAGTTTCACCTTCGGCTTTCAACCTATGATTCTAGGATAAAATGCAATTTTCACAGAGTTTCTATTTCACTTTTCTTCCTTTTGTCTTTCTGGATACACAGTAATTAAGTTCTCCTACTAGGGAAATTAATTCTTCTGAAGTAGCTAAAGGGGCTGGAGAGAGGGCTCAAACGGTTAAGAGCACTGGTTGCTCTTCCAAAGGACTGGAACTTAATTGCCAACACCCACACGGTTTCTCACAATCATCTGTAACTCCAGTTCCAGAGGATCTGATGTCCTCCTCTGGCCTCCACAGGCACCAGGCGTGTAAGTGGTACACAGACATACAGGCAGGTAAAACACCCATACATGTAACTAAATAAATCTAAACAAACAAACAAACAAACAAAAAGGTACATGAAGTAACCAGGAAGACTATAAGTAAAGCAGGTCCAACTGTGTTCCTCATGACTTCACTACTAAAGTGAGTTGGTCATGACACACCCTTCTCATGAAAGTCTTTAGTCAGAGTACCCTGCCTCAGCATCCTGCGCCTCAGTACCCTGCCTCAGCAGTGACCACCAAGCAGAAGAACTCCAGTCCTAGCTCTGTCCTCTGCACGCTCGGGTACTCCTAGCTTTAACTCTGACCTTCTAAGTGCAAGCAGTGTGGTTCAAGATTCCAGATGAGGCCACAACTACACGTTAGCTACAGAAGAGGAAGGCAAGATGGTAACGGAGTACCTGAGCCTACGTCTCTTCTACAAAAGGACTTGTTTCTGCAAACTACCGATAACCCTATTTCTCTTATGCAAAGCATTTTTGAAAACAATTCATATTTCAAATAAAACTTCTTAGAGTCCGGCTGAAGCCAGTATTTCCCGGACTGCAAGAGAACTAAGCTTCAAACCTGTGGTTGAGCCCTGCAGCTTCTGCTCCCCTTCCTCCTCTGGCACATTTTGGAATCTTTGCGCACACGAGTGTCTTGAAAACCCTCCCGGCACCAGAAGTGGCATCCGTCGCACATCTGGCCGACTCTTGTTGGCCTGCTGGCCGGTTTGTAGCTTTTGCTGTGCCACCACACATCTCCTGAGAGGCATAGACGCTCGTCAGTTGCTCCTGACCACCAGCGTGGACGAGATCACTCTTGAAGGTCCGCTGCTGTCTGAGGGATATTCCACAGTGACCAGCAACAGCTCCAGCGTAAAGATCATTTCACCTCTGCACAGCATGTGAGACAAGCTACTACTGACTTCCTCCTTTAGAAGCTTAGAAAAAAAAAAAGGTTCATTCATCATACATGAGGCCCGGGATGACTTCCGGAAGCAGGTGTATCCACTACGTTATAAAACGTGCTCTCAGTAAACCTATAATAAAGCAGCCGAGCACAAATCTCTCCCTACTTTTCCTGAGCCTGGAGTCAGCAAACTCAACAGGTCCTGTAGCTTGCTCTGACTCACACCATCTGCAGCCCCAGCTGAATTTATACAGCCCTCCCTCTAAGAGTCACGAGACCAGCTCGCGTGGCTCTGGGCAAACCTTCAGCTGCAAGGTTGCTCTGACATTGGCCACACCACTCTCTTAATGGTTCTCACGTGAGGAAGAGTCAGCTGACACTCCCTACTCCACAACCTTGTGAAACTACCCACAGCCAGTGAGGGATGGCTACCCACAAGAGCCAAAATGGAGATCTTCAGATGCGTAGTCATGAGTGGGACAGGAAGCGGAGCAGGGCATGTTCCTGCCATCATATGAGTGGGGGTGGGGGAGAATAATGAGAGACCACTAACACCAGAAAGCCTCCTCACTCTTGCACTGAGTTCCTGGGCATATTCAAGCGGAGAAAGCCCCAGTCACCAGAACAGGAGAACAGTTCTGGCTTCTGACATCAACATGGCTTACCTGGTTATGAGAATGTTGTGAGATAAATTTGAGTCTGTGGAGAAAAGGTGTTCCTTTCAGAATAAAAACCACATGGCCTCAAAACACAGGCCAAGTCTAGAAAACAAGTATACAAATGACAGCAATTCCTTTTTCCTGGAATTTGGCTGAAGAAAATACTACTGGGTCCATCCCCAAAGTCTAGGGAACCCTTTGTTGGTTCTGTGGTCTTAGTCTTAAGTATATCTTTTTGCTGTTGTTGTTGTTTTGTTTTTTGTTGTTTGTTTGTGTTTCGGACAGGGTTTCTCAGCCGGAGCTCTCCCGGAACTAGCTCTTGTAGACCAGGCTGGCCTTGAACTCACAAAGATCTGCCTGCCTCTGCCTTCGGAGTAAGGGGATTAAAGGCGAGTACCTGCCATTGCCTGGCTTAAATGTTTCTTTAGACGAGTGGTTACATTTCACTCCACTAATGGAAAATTAATGCTAGGCATCAGCCTCAGTGGCCTTCACTTTACAGGCTGTTCCTGAGACAGGAAGCCCTCCTAAAATGAACAAAAAAAAAAAAAGAGAGAGAGAGAGATTCCCCCAAGTGATCAAGATTACAACACACCTATGACAGTGAATCTTTGTGGCGATTGCCACACCGATGGTATCAAGATAGGCCCAGTTTTCCAGGAAGGGGCTTACAGCTTTCCTACAGGGCACAATCTGGTCATGGGTTCTCCCTTCCTTTAAACCGTCTAAAATGACTTTTAACAGAGAATAGCCAAATATTATTAAAATCGTTCCAGTATAAAAGACAGAACAGTTTTGGCGGTTGGGGTGGGGGGAACAGCCTACTACGGACCAATTCTGCATCTCCCAGCCACGTGATATTTAGACTAAACTTATTGGGGAGATGAAAAGACAGTCTTACCGCCCCCCCCCCCAAAAAAAAGGCTTGCAACTTCAATCTCACAGCTGGTGATGGTGGCACACACCTTTTTAATTCCAGCACTCAGGAGAGCTCTGAGTTCAAGGCTAGCTTAGTCTACAGGTCTTGGTTTCAGGACAGTCGGGGTTACAAAACACACACACACACAACGCACACACTTCAATCTCTACCAGATATTTAACTAGAATCTAAGATCATAAAACATTTTAAAAACGAGTATTAAGCTAGAACGCAGAGGCTTTATACATGCTAAGCAACGATTCCACCAGAGCTATAAACCCCCAGTGCTGCCACAGCCATGAAATATCTCTCAACATCTATTAGACCCATAACTTAGAAGTTTAGCCACAAAAGTAGTATTCTCAAAGTAATTCGAGATAATAAAATACTTATATTTTACCCCTTACCCAAGGAGTATATATAATAATGTAAAACAACAGATGAAAAATAAGATATTCTAGCCTAGTGGTGCATGCCTTTAATCTCAGCACTCAAGGAGGCAGAGGCAAGCGGATCTCTGTGAGTTCAAGGCCAGCCTGGTCTACAAGAGCTAATTCCAGGATAGGCTCCAAAGCTACTGAGAAACCCTGTCTTGAAAATAAATAAATAAATAAATAAATAAATAAAATAAAACGATTTAAAAAAAAAAAAGTGCTCCCAAGTGACAGGCGGATGAAATAAGATCTGCTGCATTTGGATGGGATTCCCTTAAAGAGAAACTAACCACACACCTGAGAATCACTTCCTTAAGAAGAAACTGCACCCTCCCCTCAGGAGTCTTCCTGATGAACCAGGCCTTTGTTCTGAGTTCTTCTACAAAAATGTTAAGCACACTTTTAATGACTAATGCATGCTTATTTTCCTAGAATACCTGCGTTTCAGGATGCTAAATAGACTATAAACTCTTAGCATAGAAAAACTAGGTCTTGTTATTCTTTGAATCACAGAGAGATTTTACATCTGGTGGATGCCCACTAGATGCTTCTGATTGGCTTAGTAAGCACTCCATATTTGCATTAAAGCTCTCACACAGTGAACCTGCAGAGAAACAGTCTGATGTCCAGCCCGGGAGATGGGGGCTTCAATGCTATAATATAATGTACACCCTCCCCCTACTGCAGCCAAGTTCCGGCAGAGACTTCAGGGTCCTGTCAAGCCAGACAACACGATTCACATCATGTATTACGAGAAAGAACACAACACCAAAACTTGCAAAAATGTGAAAGTGACATTTCCTTTCATCTTTAATTCTGTAGTTCAAAATCTAATAAGAATATAAAATAAATAAAACACAAAACCACATTATTGTACTTAAATTGGAAGTCTCTTTTCTACCCCTTACATTTAAATAGGAGTTTGAGTTCCTGCAGTAAAGGAAAAACAGCTGTATCACCACCACCATGTTTCTGAGACACGAGAGCGCTACCAGGGTAGACAGAGAGAAGAGAAGGTACACTTACATCTTCTGGGCCCTATGCTGTTTTTAAAATCCCACCTAGGCAGGCACGACAGTGCTGGGAAGCCTATTCTGAAATACTAGAAACACACATAATTATCTCCAACGTGATTTGTAGTCCTAGTCACAGTGGACTTCTATACTTTCTCCCACAAAGTGTGTCCACACATTATGGAAAACAAAGTCACCTAAGGCTCCACTTGAGGAAATGATCTTCAGTCACTGAACAGACCCCCCAGGCCATCGGCCGCTCAGTTCCGTGTCTAGAGACTCTGCTGACACCGCTGGCTCGGCCACAGCCCAGCAAACATCTGGAGATGTTAAGAGCCAGGTGCGATGAAGCTGGAGAGGAATGGACTACTGGTTCAAGTGTCTGGTAGTGGGGCTGAAACCAGGACCTCACAAATGCTACATCTGTGCTCTACCCCTGAACACAGTCAGTCCCGGGCTCTCAACTGTTTAAGCAGCTGTTGTGCGGTTTCCATTCACAAATCCTAGGCGCTGAAACTACTACAGAACAGCAAGTTTGTATCAATGAACAGCAAGGAATATTGCTACTACCCAGATAGCAAATGTACTTAATGTGCTTGCCCAGCACTCTGCCACAACACGGCTTCCTGTTATGCAGACTCCTCTCGAAACCACTCAGCACACTGCTGCAGGACCACCTCCGCTCCAAGACAGGACAGCAGAGGGAAGGGGGTCTCCCTGTCACCTGCAGAGTTAGGAGAATGAAGGACAGGAAGGTTGCATTTTGTATCTCATTTTTACACTGCACAAGTAGAGGTGGAGGAAGGAGGAACTGAATGAAGGAGGGAGAGAGAAAGGGAGGGAGGAAGGGAGAGGGACTGACCCAAAGCTTACAGCGCATCAGTGGCAGGGCCATGGCTTCAAATGCTGGCCCCCTTCCTTTTGGGCGAGCACTGGGTCAATCATGTGCACCCTGACGCCGTTCTGTCAAGAGGTATCCACCCGGATGTGGCCATCTGTACACACCAGATATCACCACACTGAGTCAAATTCTTTTCCTACCATCTTGAACCCTTGGTCACTTAGGCTGCTTGGATTCTAATTTAGCACTGAGGGCAAGTCATATGCTCTGTGGGTGACTAAGTCTCTTGCCAGACACCTGGCCATGAACCCTGCCCTGCTCCCATGTAAACATTCCCTGTGCAGGAGCCAAGCAGACCACAGAATGCCAGCAGGGCTGCTGCTGGACATGGCCAGCCTGGCATTCAGGGGGTGGCTGGGGTGCAGGCTCCACTGGTCTCTCCCTCCACCCCACTGCAAACCAAGTTAGCTTAAATGTACACTAGAAGCCAACCGGCTTTACAGCTTCCACTTCAGACAGGTATACTCACGATGTTTTCCCTAGTTCTAAGCACACCTATAATAAACTCGTGCACAGCACTATCAAGCCTGGGGTCATTCCCTGTCATGATTTTCTAAGTTACATGGGAAAAAAAAAATGCAATGATCTATGGTTCCTAAAGCTGCGCTTGATGTATGTGCCTGGGACTCTAGCATTCTGAGAGCTAAGGAAGAAGACTGAGTTCTAGTCCAGACTGAGCTACGTAATGAGTTCAGATCAGTTTGGGGTACTACACAGTGAACTCCAGGACAGCCTGGGCTACACAGCTACCTACGAAGACCCAGTCTTAAAGAGCACACAGAAAGGGTGCTGTGTTGTTCCTCCCTAGGATCTAGGTTACTTTCTACGCCCCCCCCCCCCGCCGCCGCCCCGTCTCCACACTCCAAAGAGCAGCCATCAAAGGCACTCAACAACTAAAGGACGAGCGTGCCTTCATAGAAACTCTCTTCTTTAAAACACTGAGTATGAAGAGCAAGACTCAAAGTGGCGTGCACACTTTGATACTGCATGTATTCTCCAAACAAGAAGTAAATATCAGAACATCTTAGATGAGCCAGACTGGTGCTACTTTTCCTCTTCTTTACTTATTCTCTATATCTCCAATAATATGTGGTTATTATTTACAAATAGACAAAACGACTTTAAAAAAATTTTTTCCCAGCCGGGCGGTGGTGGCGCACGCCTTTAATCCCAGCGCTCGGGAGGCAGAGGCAGGCGGATCTCTGTGAGTTCGAGACCAGCCTGGTCTACAGGAGCTAGTTCCAGGACAGGC